TTTAAAGACACAACCACCTACTGGCATTCATTCGCAGTTTCAATAAACCTCCAATAACATTACACCTTTTATAACATATTCTGAAACGAAATCAGTTAATAAGATATTTAAGCATTTCCCGGATTTTTGTTTTTCCTCGGAGAAGTTTCGCTGCTCATCCAAGAAGCTTCTTCAGTCCGGAGACAGAAATGAAGAAGGTTCTTGGATGAGAGAAGCAAAGAGGGAAAAAACCCCAAGAAGGAACAGTTGTCTTTTGGAAAAAGCAACTTTGGAACAACCATGACCTGGATGATTAAGAATCTTCATAGATTCTAGAGATTCAGTCCTCCAGGTCATGGTTGTCCCAAAGGTGCTTTTTCAGGAGGAAAATGGATTTTCTAGTTTTCTTTCTTTCTTTTGAAGACGTTTTGTTTCTCTTCTTGGATGAAAAGAGAAATGTCTTCAAAAAGAAAAAGAAAAACAAGAAAATCCAGTTGCCTCCTGAAAAAGCATCTTTGGGACCGTCTCCATAGACATTTAAGACCTGTGGACTTCCAACTCCCAGAATTCCCCACCCAGACAAGCTTCTCCTTCTTCTCCTCCTCCTCCTTTTTCATTCTTTCTTTGGAAGGACAGATACTGAAGCTGAAATACTTTGGCCACGAGATGAGAAGGGAGGACTCACTGGAACAGACCCTGATGTTGGAAAAGATGGAAGGCAAGAGGAGAAGGGGATGGCAAAGGGTTACAGTGTCACCAATGCAATTCAATGAACGTGGATTTGGGAAGACCATGGGGTTGCGAAGAGCCAAATGCGAAGCATCAACAGCTTTTAAACGCTACAGTGCACGGGTAGAGATAGAAACACGCAGGCAAGTTTAAAGTTCAATATTCATTCTTTTTTTCTCCAAATACAAAAAGCTGTTACAATTCAACTCAACACAAAGCATGTTCAGAGTTACAGAAACTGAAACGTCGTATAAAAAGTTACACATTTAAGATGATTCTCTCCCCCTTTTTTTAAAAAAAAAAATCCTCTCCTGTACTGAACTAACAGAATTGTTATCTTGATGAAAATATTAACAGCTACTGACCCACAGTAAAAAGCTACAGGGGAAAAAATATTTCTTTGAAAAAAAACAAAAAACAAAATCATAATTACTGTAAGATAGCCATTTCTCCTCCCCTACGGTTTTAATGGTTCTTTGCAAAAGAGAAAAGAAACAGATAAAAAAAACACCTCAAAGACAGGTGACACCAAACTGCAAGAAGTTTCCCAAAGGTGTGGAATTTATAGTCACCAGCAGATAGGGTGGAGGCGGAGTGGAAAGGGGAGAATTTGGGAGGGAGTCTGCAGGATGCGGTCCACAAACAGGATAGCCACATGACCCATATCCTTTTTTTTTTTTAAATGCACACTGTGACTACTCTCTTCTCTTAACTGGACCACCCCCTGCAGACACCCCTGGAGAGAATAGCGGTAAATCCTACTTGAGCCCCTTCCAATGCTGCCCCCCCCCGCCCAACTTCTGTAGGAAGTTTAGATACCTGGATGGGTCCTGGTCTAAAAGGATTTTTAAAAAAGTACAATTTTATGAACACTGAAGAAGACCCTAGCTTCTTACGGAATAAAACAAATCTTAAAAAGAAGAAAAAGAAGGGGGGGGGAGCTAAATGATCTTCAACAAGGAGAGACAAGGAACCATGTAACTTTCCTCATGAAGGATGGTAGAAAGGACATAACATGCCTAGCTGTACAAGTAAAAACCCAACCATCCTCAAGAACTCTTAGAGAGGGGAAGTGGGTGGAAACGCCCAACTTCCCTCTTCTGGATCTCTCTCTCTCGCTCTCTCTCTCAAGATTCAGAAATGCCCGTCACTGTGAAGGATGTGCTGTTCCTTTTTCCCTGGGGTGGCAGAACAACACCCTCCCGAGCTATCACTGTGTGCTTGAGCCTCCCTGCGAGGTGCCCGTGTAGCTCCCGTAGTCGTAGTTGCCGTAGTACTGAGGCCACTGACCCTGGTTTTGATAGTATTGATTCCATTGTTGGGTGTACTGTGGGGAAAAAGGAGACAATTGATCAGTGGACAGGTAATATTCTCTACCCCCGCCCTGGGGGAGAAAAAAAAAAAACCTTTCCATTTCCATCTGCTGGCTCATCTCAGATTACGTCAGGTTTGTCTCCTCCCCTCCAAGGTCCCTCTCTTTTCACAAAAACTTAAGACTTAGAATAAGTTTATTGTCACTTTGAATGTACACTAATCGGCATACATTAAAATGAAATTTCGTTGCATGCAGCTCTTCAAAGAGTCTCCACCTCTAAAATACACTACATAACCACAAATAAATAACTAAATAAATAAACACACAGACAGACAGACAGACAGACACACACACACAAAGAAATTATGCATATAGTAGTTTTCCTTGTCAAAGGCGAAGGACCAACAAGAGAATGAATAGCTGAGTTGGTGCAGCCTTGGCAACTTTTAAGACTTGTGGATTTCGACTACCAGAATTCTAGGGAGTTGACTGGCTGGGCTGGGGAATTCTGGGAGTTGAAGTCCACCAAAGTTGCCAAGGTTGAATATCGCTTTCATTAAACTCTCAATCTGGAGGAGGATGGAAGCACTGCTCCATTTTTTGCACCGCACTACAAGTAGTCCTCGATTTATGGCCACAATTGGGATTAAGAATTTCAGTGGTTAAGCAAGGTGGTGGCTAAGCGAGTCACAGCCGATCTGATGACCCTTCCAGAGCATGGCTATTAAGCGAATCCCTGCGATTGTTAACTGAATCACATGGCTGTTATGTGAAGTCGGCTTCCCCCGCTGCCATGGCTCGTCGGAAGCCAGCTGAGATCACACATGGCGATCACATGACCACAGGGCCCTGTAATACATGGGTGGCCCCACAGCATCCTCTTAATGCCCCAGGCTAGTCTTTGCTTCTCCACACTTACCTGTTGGTACTGGCTGTAGTTGGGCTGACTGTAGGCTGGTGGGGTTGGGGCTGGCGGAGGAGGAGGAGGAGGCTGGGTGTAACTTTGGCTGTAACTGCCGTAACTTCCGTAGTTGTAGCTGGGAGCAGTGTAGGCCCCCTGGCTGTAGCTGGAAGGCGGGCTGTAGGGTTGGCTGTAGCTTTGCTGTGGACGACAAGAGGGACAGTTGGTATCCTCAGCTGAGGCACAGCTGCTCTGAATCCCATTTAGTGGGTCCCCCCAAAATGCCTAATGCTGCCGGCTGAAGCATATCTGGCTTGTAGGCACAATTTGCAAGAACAATTTCCTTCTCTCCTCACTGACATCCGTTTTTGCCCCAAAGGGACATTCCAAAAGCTGCGTTTGGGTGTAGTGGTTTAAGGCACCAGGCTAGAAACTGAGGGATGGTGAATTCTAGTCCTTGCTTAGGCATAAAAGCCATCTGGGTGACTTTGAGCCAAGCACCAGGAGACTGGGAGTTCTAGTCTCACTTTAGGCATGAGAGCCATCAGGGTGAATTTGGGCCGAACACCAGGGGACTGGGAGTTCTAGTCCTGCCTTAGGCACGAGAGACATCTGGGTGACTTTGAGCCAAGCACCAGGAGACTGGGAGTTCTAGTCTCACTTTAGGCATGAGAGCCATCTGGGTGAATTTGGGCCAAACACCAGGAGACTGGGAGTTCTAGTCCTGCCTTAGGCACGAGAGCCATCTGGGTGACTTTGAGCCAAGCACCAGGAGACTGGGAGTTCTAGTCTTACTTTAGGCATGAAAGCCAGCTGGGTGACTTTGGGCAATCATCAGGAGACTGGGAGTTCTAGCCCTGCCTTAGGCACGAGAGCCATCTGGATGACTCTGAGCCAAGCACCAGGAGACTGGAGTTCTAGTCTCACTTTAGGCATGAGAGCCATCTGGGTGACTTTGAGCCAAGCACCAGGGGACTGGGAGTTCTAGTCCCGCCTTAGCCATGAAAGCCAGATAAGTGACTTAGGGTCAGCTACTCTGTCTCAGCCCAACACACCTCACAGGGGTGTCGCTGTGGGGAAAATAGGAGGAAGAAAGTGTCTTGGACACATTCGCAGCCTTGAGTAGTTTGTAAAAATAATAATCAAGGCGGGATATAAATGGATTTGTAACGTATCGACATGCTAGCGGAGCACCAGGCCTTTAAAGGTGTCCTATTGATAGGTATCAAAGATGTTAAATATGATGCTCCCCTCTCTGGCTATTCCTCAGCTTTCCTTACAGCCCCCCCAAGACACACCACTGGATGCTTCCCCGGCTGCCCTGATCCTCCCCAGATTCATCCCTCCATTACCACCCATCCCCATTTGAAGGTGTTTCGGCATTTCCCCAAACAGAATCTGGAGTCGAACCCTGGACACCCCACCCTACCTGTGCTCCTTGATTGTACGACACCGGTGGGGGGTTGGTGGCAGTGCCCATGGCTGGAGGAGGGGGAGCAGGAGCAATGCTGCTGCTCTTGTAAGGATTCTGGTCACGTGCCGGGCTGTAGCTGCTCTGCTGTTGGTTGTTCTGATTGTAGCTGCCTCGGGTGTTGTTATTGTTGTCTCGGTTCCCACTCCCCCAGCGGTTCTGGTTGTAGCCGCCTCGGTTGAAGCCTGAATGGGAAAACCATAGTTATGAACTTCCACTGAAGAGCCAGTTTGGTCTAGTCTAGTGGTTAAGGTGCTGGGCTAGAAAGCAGGACACGGTCAGTGGTAGCCCCAGCTTTGCAATGAAAGCCACAGGCCGACGGTGAGTTCTAGTCCTGCCTTAGGCATGAAAGCCAATTGGGTTGTTTTGAGCCAATCATCAGGAGCTGGTGAGTTCTAGTCCTGCCTTAGATCTGAAGGCCCATTGGTTGACTTTGGGCCAATCATCAGAAGACGGTGAGTTCTCCAAAAACTATTCTTGGAACTCTGGATGATTGGTGACATTATGGTCAACTGAAAATATGAATGTATATTGTAAATTAATGGGAATTCTTTGTTCTAATCTCCGCCTTTTCTCCTTGGAGACAGGTGATGTTATAATACTTTAAAACCTATTGTTATTTGATAGGTAATTATGAATTTAAGGAAATAAGGATTGTTACAAATGAAAGAATATTAACGGTAATTTGAACACATAATGCTCAATGACACTGAAACATTTAGTTATGTTTAATGGAAAACCAGTCATGTTATTCTTAATCTTAAGAATTGATGCACAAAAACTGGTTACACGTTTTTGCTTGATGAAATTGAAGAAAGTTGTTTTTCTCTCTCTCTTGCTTTGCTTTGTAAGTGTTGTTTTGTTTTTTCTTTAAGAAAAAGAATAAATATATATATTAAAAAAAGAAGATGATGATGGTGAGTTTTAGTCCCGCCTTGGGCATGAAAGCCAATTGGGTGTGACTTTGGACCAATCNGTCGCGCTGTGATGACGTCACGTACGTGCTTTCGGCGAGCGCAATTTTGTCGTCCGCGGTTTTGTGGTGGAACCCATAAACCTGCCAATCCACAGGTTGACTTTTAAACAAACTGTAAACCCATTCCCCCTACCCACCCACCCCAAAAAACCCCCACTCAGGGCCCCAGTACCTCTGATGAGTTGTTGCAAAGCTGCGTAGCGCTTGTTCTTCACCCTCGTGTGCAGGGTTTTGCCCAGATTTGCTTTGCGGATCTCGGCGCAGTAAAAATCTGCCTCATAATTGCCAGAGAGATGGTGGAAACAGGGCAAATGTTCTTCGCGCAGGACCGTTCGGAAGCGCTCCAGGAAGACCAGAGGCTTGGTGTGGTATAAATTCCGTAAAATCCCCAGTTTCTGGGCTGGTGTAAAATCTGGTTCGTCCTTCTGTTGGCTCTGGACCGCTAAGCGGCTGTTAGCCACGGTGTGAAACATGGCAAGCAGAGCAGAGTCCTCCTCTTCCATGGGACTATCAAGGACCACGTTTGAACCAGAGGACTTAAAATTCCCATTATTGTAAGAAGGTGACCGTTTGCCGTTGGAGGTCTCCTCTCCGTTAGGGGTGCCACTTTCAGCATCCAAGTCCCCCGGTTTTTCAGAGCCTTGGTTAAAATCTTGGGCAGCCTTGCTCCCATTAGTTGGGGTTAGGTTTTCTGTCTTTAATTCACCCAAGCACCAGGAGAGAGACGGCCCCATTTTGGACCTGTATTTGTCCACCGAAGAATTTTGGCCTGTGTGCCAAGAGTCCTCCTCCCTGCGTGAAGGCGATTGAAATGTTCCTTTCCTGCTCAGGGAATAGTTGTGTGAATTTGGGACTCCTGACATTTCTTCCCCCCAATATGTGTGACCCCTAGGGGAGCTGCCAACCATCCCGAAGCTGCACATATCTGAGGCTGCATCGCCAGAAGACGCTCGGCAAGGCCCATCAGAATCTCTGTTGCTCTGCGAAGGGTAATCTTTGCTTGTTGGAACTTCCATCTTGTGATTTCTTGCCTTGATTTTGTCTGGAAAATTGCTCTCTAGGCAGATCAACTACTGGCTTCCTCCCCTTTTCTCTCTCTTAGGGAATCAATAGCTAGAAAGAGAAAATCATTTTTGCAACACTGAATGAAATAGATATCAAATGCCCCCCCCCGGCCCCACCCACCCAAGAGGGGGAATAACATCTACTGTACTGGGACAACCCAAGACTGTGGCTCAGAAATAAATTCAAATAAGCTTGCCATGAATCCCAAGAGGTGTTCTGTGAAGCAGAGTGAAATGATAGAGAAGACAAATTCAAAATTATTTCAGTGAATTATTTCAATGGCTATACATTTTGGAAGGAAGATCCAAGACGATGTTGATATCTTAAAACAGACACTTTAATGGCATGGAAAAGACAGAACGACTACCCAGTGGAAGGAGGAAGAGCATGGCTGCTCCTTCCCAGTGATACTGATGGGAGCTAGAGGGCCACTCCACCATCCCTTAAGAAGCTCTGGATCCCCTCCAAGCACATGTCCAGATATTCAGATTTAAGGGCCTCAGCTGGACAAAATCTCTAATGTGGTTCCACATCACCCCAATGGACTGGAGGCTAAAACATATGAAGAACGGTTGCAGGAATTGGATATGTCTAGTTTAATGCAAAGAAGGACTAGGGGAGACATGATAGCAGTCTTCCAGTATCCCAGGAGCTGCCACAAAAAAGAGGGAGTCAAGCTATTCTCCAAAGCACCTGAGGGCAGGACAAGAAGCAATGGGTGGAAATTAATCAAGGAGAGAAGCAACCTAGAACTAAGGAGAAATTCCGACAGTTAGAACAACTAATCAATGGAAAAACCTGCCTCCAGAAGTCGTAAATGCTCCAACACTGGAAATTTTTAAGAAGATGTTGG